CGGCACTCTAGCCCGGGCAACACAGTGAGACTCTGTCTCAAAAAAAAAAAAAATTTAAAGAAGAAATTCACCTTTAAGGTTTCCTCAGAACTCAGCTCACCCAATACACTTGCCAAACCTCAATTTCTTAAACATCCACTTTTCTTTTAAAAAAAAAGATCAGCTCCAAACCCTGCGCTCGGTGCCATAGCTCTTCTTTTATTTCCCGTTGATTGTGTTATTTTATCTATGAAAGAGGTTAGTAAAGCAGTAATTTCTGAAAAATTGATTATCAAGCCTAGTTAATGACTGATATGTAAGGGCTATTAATTATCTGAAGTAAAACCAGCTTTTAATTGGTGACAATAGTTAGACTTCTGAAGCCTGCCAGGTAGCTAGCTACTATTCATGGGACTTGAAATGTTACAGAAAAGCAGGTGTCCATTAGCCTTAAAAACAAAACAGAATTTTATACGTATTTTTATTAGCCAGAAAAATTTTTAAATGACAACTATCCAAATAAGGAATTATGTTTTCCACAAAATGGTGGATAAATTTAAATCTGAAACACAGTAATGTAGTGGTTAAGAGTGCAGGTTTAAAAAAAAAAAAAAAAAGCAGCCGTTTTGTAAAGGAAAATCACAACATGTATGGAAATAGGGAGGGCAGTACCATGAATCCCACATACTCATCACCCAGGCAGCAGTCACCTTGTGGCCAGCCTGGTTTCAGGTGCACCCTCCCACTTTCCCTCAACCCACTCTGGACTATTTGGAAGCAAATTCCAGGCTTCACATAATTTCATTTATAGCCAGTCCAATACGTATAAGGGCACAGACTTTGAGTTACACAGACCTGGAGTCAATTCTAGGTCACTAGCTGTGTGAGCCTGGGCTACTGACTTAACTTCTTTGAGCCTGTCTTCTATCTGCGAAATGGGGATAGTAGTCCTGTTTCACAAGACTGTAACGTGAGTGAAATGAGATGAGGTATCTGAAGAACTGAACCTAGGCTGGGCGCGGTGGCTCACGCCTGTAATCTTAGCTCTCTGGGAGGCCGAGGCGGGCAGATTGTTTGAGCTCAGGAGTTCGAAACCAGCCTGAGCAAGAGCGAGACCCCGTCTCTACTAAAAATTAGAAAGAAATTAATTGGACAACTAAAAATATATAGAAAAAAATTAGCCAGGCACGGCGGCGCATGCCTGTAGTCCCAGCCACTCGGGAGGCTGAGGCAGGAGGATCGCTTGAGCCCAGGAGTGTGAGGTTGCTGTGAGCTAGGCTGACGCCACGGCACTCACTCTAGCCCGGGCAACACAGTGAGACTCTGTCTCAAAAAAAAAAAAAAAAAGAACTGAGCCTAGCACTGGCACACACAAAGTAGCTACTACACCGCAGCTATGGTCATTAATAGACAGAACCCTTTCTGACATTTCCAACGAAGTTCAAAAAGAATAAAATAGATATCAAATATTCCCATATTTTAAAAAGAGATGCTAACCTCCATGCTGAACTTATAGAGAAAGGAACTAAAAATGATTTATAGTTCATTAGCCTAATATTCACCTCCAGGAGCTTAAGGATAAAGAGGTCCAGAAAAATCTCTTTGGATGAAGTTGGTGGAGTGCTGTGGAATTTCCTACTACCCTCCAAAGGTCAGGAAGGAGGGGCTTTTCTGTCACCTTAAACCAAGAGGAAGAGGGTTTTAAGAGAGGCGTCAGAGAGTACAACCTGCTTGACCTGGAAATGGTAATTCCTAGAGTACAAAGACTGGTGTCTGACCCTCATCGAGAAGCAGGAAAGAGCAGCGCGTGATGACTGAGCAGAGGCAAGCGCCACGTCCCACCCTGAGGCAGACTGGAGCTGGGGAAGAGAAGGCTTCCCTTTTAATGAAGTTCAAATCAGACATTTCAAGTACTGAAATTAAACCCCTCTCATGACTAGAAGTGGTCAGAGAATTTTTATGTAATCTAAAGTGACAGAAAAAGTGACAGAGTATATATTACAGAAGATATATATATGATATGACACATATAGGATATATATTCCATCCAAGAAGGGAAAAAAAAGAACCTACAGAATGAGCTGGAGGGAAAAATAAAGTTGTTGTTTCCCTTCCACCCCGTCATGTTCAGCCCTTCCAATGGAAGCAGAGGGAGGAATACCTTACACAGATTAAAAAGATGTAGATACTAGTACAAATAGTAAACTGTATGCTGCTCTCTTTTTATCCCTTTTACTTTTATTTTCTATTGACTAAACAGCAGCTAAGTGATGCTTCCATGACCCATTCTTCCCAAAAGAATAAAACAAGGAGGAGGCAATAAAAGTTGCTGAAGGGACAGAGACAGAGGGGAAAACGGGAGAGTCAAGCGCCCCAAGGTGCCTGATCCAGGGACAGCAACTCCTCGTGCAAGGGCCTTTGTTAAGCATTGAACAGTACTTAAGCAGGCAAAGCAGGATTTCCTGCCCTTTAGGAGTTTGCATTAAACACAACAGCAACCCGGAGAGATAAACACACAGTCTTCAGGAGGAGGGGAGCAAACGGGAGATGTGATACAAAACCGAAAAGGGCGAAAGGCGTAGTAAAGAATCCTTGTAAAGGCTACTGTGAAGTCAGATAAAGCAAATTCATGGCTTTTTGAGAACTCAGATCTTAGTCAATCAATCATAATGAAATATCCTGCAGATTCCTGAAGCATTCCTACATTGGTCTTGGAAGCTCATTCCATTTAAGATCAATCTTTCTTTGGGGGAAAAGAGTTATTTATTACTTTCAACTATGGAAGCATTGTACTGACCTTTATAATAAAAAGTGTGAACACTGTGACTGCATTTTGAATTATAAGTAGGCATGAATTCATTCTCGGAAAACATTAAATGCCAAACCAGAGCTACCTCCACTTAAATTACGAGGTGTCCAAACAAATGAGCCTCTTCAGTAGCAGTAATGGCATCCCTGTGCCATCCACCTGTACAAATACAGGCTTCAGTCCTCACCAGGGCTTGTCAGCCCCATAGCTTATGGCATGAATTCTAGACAATCCAGTCCCCTGTTTCAGCACTAACTAGCCACAATCCAAATTAGTCACAGAACACATGGTACATGGTGTGTAGAGGGTTCAGATTCACTTTTAGCAGAGAGGCCTCCAGTGTGTTACTTCAAGTTTTCTGTTGCTGTCATAACACAGCTGATAAGACTATTCTTGTCAGAGTGATAATGAATAAAAGTTAAGTCTCAATTTCAATTCTGACCTACTAAAACTTTTTGAGTAATTGATTACAATGTAAGCCAAGGCAATCAAATTTATTTTTGGTTATGCAATCACAGAACTGATTACTTTTCAAATAAAAATCCAGAGAACTAGACTACTTCCCAGAATAAAAAGTAACAAGTAGTAGTTTGTATGTGTGAGAGAGTCTGAGAGAGTGAGAGTCAAAGAGAGTGAGAGTGAGTGAGTGTGTGAGTAAACATGCGCATAGGGGCTTTGCCACGGTTTTCCATCTGGGCCATGATGTGGAGGGATAATCACAAACTGCACTCTCAGGCTTTAAGTCTATGAATAATGCCCAGATAACCTACCATGACTTAAAAAAAGACATGAATTGCGACGTGATAACTCAAGCTCAACAACCACTCATTTATAGTAGATTGATTTTTCAAGGTAATTTTAGCAATTCAAGAAATATCTCGGATGGAAGGCAAGAAGAAGTAACACGCGAAAAAACAACACAGTTTGTAAGTTAAAGAAGATGGATTTCTCAATGATAGTAGCTCTTTTATCCTATAATCAACAATCCTTCAAAATCAAATCCAGCTAGTCTAAACCACTATATGAATAAAAAGCCATCTTTCATTTAACTATAATTCATTTTTACAATTTTTGTCTACTTTAAAAGAATCTACTTCAAACATGACTTCCCCCCGCCCAGGGCAAGAAGACTACAGGTTACACAGAAGGCAAAGTGCACTCGAGGTGGGAGTGATTCTCTCCTTTAAGCTAGTGAAGTCACCTAGATACAGAGGCAAGAACTTCCTTTCTTTCTCCTTATTGTGAAGTCGGAAAACTAAGTTCCTAGGAACACTTTTAACTAAGGGCAAAGGAATGATGAGACTCCCCAGGGGAAGAATATAAGAAATGACCATAAAGTACTCAGAGCGACTTTTAAATAAATGTGCTAGAACTAATACATACAAATAGATGTTGCCCTCTTCAAAGTCATTATCTTGGAAATTAAACTTGTTCTAACGCTGCTGTTATGGGCGCTTTGGAATTTGTTTCAGAGCCTGGAATTTTCCACATGCTGAAAGCTAATAAGTATTTGTCTTTTCAGGCTGAATTTAGCGATAGTCAAAAGTCCTCAGAGTAGTTGCGCTTTTCATTGAAAAACCCTTTCTGACATCCCAAATCTAGGTTATGTGTCCCCTCCTAAATACTTCCCCCAGCAGTGCACTTTTCTATTTGGAATTGCTTACTTACATATCATCTGTCTCTCTGACAAAATTGTAAACTTCATCAGAGCAAGGAATTTGTCTACCTTCTTTATTATTACACCCACAGTCCTAGCACAGAGCCTACAAAATTACAGGCATCCAAGAAATACTGAATTATGCAATTTACTATAATGTAAAATGGTCTGAAATACTGGGTGTACCTTTTCTATTTACCCTTCCTACTCCTCTCAGAAAAGAGTATCACGCCTCTGTGTGATTATATATCTATAGAAAGGGCATATTACTTTAAAAGTGGTTGGATTAGATGATTTATTTGTATATGGAAAAAATATGGTGTAGAGTTGGAATTTATACATAGAAAAAAGCAAAAATCATGATATCTTCACAGACTAAAAACTTACAACTTTTCATTCCCAAATCTGTAACCACAATAATATCTTACCTAGTTGCAGTATCTTTATAGTGTCTTTGTAGGCCTTCATCACCAGCTTGAAATGGCGAAAAAGTGGGTAGCACAAAACTCTTCTTCCAAAAGATACCATGATCTCATGAACATTACTCCAAGTCTGTGAAGTGTCATTTTAATAAGCAGTTATTTCCATAAAATGTTATGCAAATAAAAGCACACAATGAAATAGAAAACTTTTCTCAATTAAAAAATTAAAAACTATAAATTTGGATCATCTTGAAGCCAAGTAGGAGAAATATAAAACCCTGAAATGATTTTTTGTATACCTTACAGTAAAATATTTAATTGCAGTCTTTGTAATTTTTCATGCTATATCAACGTATCTCAAATGCTCCTTTAAAATCACATATATAGCAGGAAAGTTTTTAAAAGTCTTAAGAATTACGAATAAGAATCTAAAACACATGACATTAACAAAATACAGGTGCACATAAAGGATATTTTAAAATAATATATGTTTCACGTTTTTGTCTTTTAGGGTCATTCAAGATGGTACAGATCAAAGATGTAGAACTCTTTCATGAAGTATGTTCAGTCTCCTTTTTAATTTTTTTTTTTTTTTGCTTTAGGCATGAGTAATATAAGATATTTACTTGACTAATTTGTTTTCATTCATCAAAGAGAAAACACTGAAGTACTGATTTCTAGAAAAAAGCTGTTTATCTTCAATGGTACCAAATACCATTCAGGTTTATCTTCAATGGTATCAAATTATCTCAAAAACAAAAATTTCAAAATAAAGTCACAAATAGGTGAATTTTCATGTAGATTTTAATAATTATACTACAAAATTATCTAGTCACCAACTACTTTAAATTTATTAATAAACACAATTATTACAAAACCAATTCCTCTATCATATGCTGCTCGGGGCAATATGAGGAACTTAAATTACGCCTAGAGAGCAGCACTTCTCCATCTTCAATATGCATACGAATCACCTGGAGATCTGGCTACACATTTTGATTCTGATCCAGTGGGTCTGGGGTGGGACTCAGATTCTGTCTTCCTAAAAAGCTCCCAGCTGAGGCTACTGGTCAAGCTGTTGGTACATGGACCACTCTTGTAGTAAGATTCTCTAATAAATGTTTCAGCTCCTGTTTACATATTACCTATTATTTGAACAAAGTGATGCCATGAAACAATTTTGATTTCACAACTTAAAAAATACTATCAAATAGTTGTCTTAACTGATGATACAATTATCAAATATTTAAATGATACTTTTTAAAAAGCTTCTACCTTTAATTACTGTTTTGATGTACGACAGTTTGTTCAAAATTAGTAAATTTAAAGACATTATCCTTTGAAATTTTTGGTGGGACCTGCACTATTTTCTAGACGAAAATGGATATAAATGCAATTATTACTATACTAAAAGAGTTATCAAATTTAACCACACTAACTGTAGGACCTAGGATAAGTTATCTAAGCTATATGATCTAAGTTTCCTCACACCTGTAAAACCATCAACACTTACCTCACACACTTATCGAGAGGAACAGGTAAAGTAATACATATAAAAGACTGAGCACAGACCCTGGTGTCAGTTATCACCTAGGTTGGCTTCCCATCTTTGAGCTCTGAGCCCCAACAGATGCCATCTTAGACACACACCTCTGACTCCACCCCACATTCTCCCCCAGATAACCATGTCCCCATTCTTTCTCCAAAGTGTGTTTCCCTCACCCAACTTCCAAAATACCTGGCTTCACTATCAGAATTTCATTAAAAAGATGGAAAACAAACTTGTACAATAAAAGTTCCCACTTTTAAAAACTGAAGGAATTGACTGAATTGCCCAAAATGAAGTAATGACAACAGAAAAATAACTTTCTGAACAATAAATGCTAAACTGCAACTGGAAATCATACCTCAAACCAGCACAGTGTTGAACTCAGTTTTCTGATATTCCATGCAGATTCAACCTTTATTTGTTTTGGAGAAAAGAGTACCATCACACAGAGGTAAAGTCATTTAACAACAGGTCGATACATACATTTATTCAACCAATACTGAGTAGTACTGACATATGTAAAGAAGTATTTATGACTATGATAAAATAATTGATTTACTGATACAGAGACTATCAGAGGGAAGTTACTGTTTACTTTCCTTGGGATTTTATAAAATAAAACTTTTCTACTGCTAAGAGTACCAAAACACAAGAACAAAAAAGCAAGGGCTCTGAAACAAAAAATTAAAGCCAAGTGATGCTTGCTCAATTTTCTGTCCTTCTCAACTAAGTTACTGGCCTCCCAAACATTCTATAAATGATGTATCAAAGCAATCGAAGATAATGTTGAAATGATGTCTGTGGCACTTAAAAAGCTGCTAGAGGAACTTGATTGTTCAGGGAATGCTTGTGAGAATATGCACACTCTAGAGAAGATCTTGAAGTTGCAAGACTTCATGATTTCAAATATAAGGAAACAAGAATAAAAATGGTAAATTTTATCAAGTATATGTATTAATAACTAAACATCCTCATTCATCTTTTCAAGATTCAATAATATGAAGTACTTTTTTGTCAAAGAAAACATTTTCTCCAAATATGGTGTCTTTTAAAAGATGAGTGGAAACAAAAAGTATTTTCAGATGTAGTATATCCTTGACACAGTCCATAATATTCATTTTGGAGGCAAATTCAAACCACAGAACCACCTTAGAAATTTTCAGAATCATGAGAACAAAAAAAAATTGGCACATACAAAATTCTAACTCTAATACTATGCTAGTGTTACGATGTTAAGAAAAGCAGATTAAATGGCATATCCATTACGACCCAATGTAGATACACACATACATACACACATGTGCGAAATGAAAGGAGATTGGGAAGAGATACATCACCTTGTAACAGTGGTTATTTTTGATGGCTGAAATTATAGAAAATCTTTATTATTTTCTTCATGTGTGTATTTTCCTTTATAATATGATTTATTATGTAATTCAAAAAAGGAAAGCACATACTTAGGTCAAAAATAACCCTTTGAACAAGGACAATTATAAACAGCTGCAGGGCCATACTAACTAGAAAAACATTTTTTGGTTTTCCAGGCTTTTTAATATACAGTCAGTGATACAGGTGAGCGAGAAGGTTAGCTCATTTACAAAATCAAATACGGTTTAAGAAGAGATATGATAAAGTCTATATTATTTTTTAAAAGGTCATTTCAGAAATAATTAACTTTACAAAAGCATTTACTTTTACAATATGATTCCTTTACATAGCAAAAAAAGATATGATTCAGGCTTTTAAAAACCTGATTTACATACAATTTTTCAGGAGTACACATGCTATATGAATTGAGTGACATTTAGGTCAATACTAAGATTTCTTTTTTTGTAAAGTGCCACACTTTACATCTGCTGACTGATGGCTAAGAAAAAGAACATGTGGGTATATTACCCCCCTGCCAATGCCAAGTGTCATGTAACAGAGCCTTCTCTTTTTAGCCAAAAGAGATGAGAGCTCAGGATAGCTTTCCTCTCCATTCTCAGCTTTACCTCCTTAAACTCCCCTGCTCTGCTATTTGGCAGAGACTAATGCCAAAAGAGAAAAGAAAAAGACCAAGTAAGCATTAGCTTGCATGTTGGTACCCACCACCACCACACACATGCACCTCTGCCTGGGGCATCCCTTAAATAATCACAACAGGTTCTACTCTAGACAGGAGAGCTGATGCCTTAATGCAGTTTAGTTAGCACAGTAATCTATGCCGACATGCACAGACACACGTGCACTTACATTCCTCTCTCCTTCAGTGACACGAGTTTCATAGCAATATGCCAGAAGGATATCGATCAAACCGTAGTACACCTGACTCCGGGCTTCCTTGTCCAGCAGGTAAGATTTATTGACAAATTTTCGTAGCTGATATTTCTCTTCTTCAGAAAAAGACACTAGAAGAAAATGTGTTTAAAATTAGAAGTTTCATTCAGTTTTGTAAAACTCCTAATGTGAAAGATTTGTCAAAATTAGAATTTTGATTATTGAAACTGAAATAAAAGTTCTTTCTACTTAACTCTGGATATCAAAATAACTTTTTAAGTAGACTTCACAATTTTATTAAGGACTGTGCATTTGCTCAAACTTTAGTAGAGCTAAATAAAGAAGAAATTTTTAAATATCTATTCCTTATTAGTTGGCCCCCCTCAACACCTTTTTGCTATACTGTTCTATATTTAAGGCATCTAAATGCTAAAGTAACTGACTTTAAAATTAAGATAATACATTTCGATAACAAAAAGTATAATAACTAAAGCACTCTTAAAATACTCATTATCCATTTTGAAAGTTTTACACCAAGAAATATGAATATTCCCAGATATTAATCAATTTTAAAGGCATAGTATTTATTTTCTAATATTTTCTACCCATATAAGTCAAGTTTTACATATGACCATATCACACATACTAGACTTGGGGGAAAAGAATGTTTCTTTTCAACACGGATCCCTTTTCCACATTCTTCTTTTGCTTGGCACCCTCTCTTCACCTAAATCTTCATCAAAAGTTTTCCCCAAATTAAAGTTACTATATATCATTCCACAGTTTTCTCTACACCCATGTAGTCATATACAGACACACAAACATATATAATAGGGAGTTTATACCTCCTACCTCCTGCAAAGAATTAGGTTATTTTCTCTATCTAGCCCCTCTCACTCGACAATACCTCTAGCAAATCCCTTCAAGTCAACTGGTACGTAGCTAATTTTTATAAAGGAGTATAATATTCCAAGATGTACCATGCTCTGTCCAACCACTCCCCCTACTGATGGGCATTCACTTTGCTTCTAGTTTTCTGCCACTGCTAATCACACTACAATAAACATCCTTGTCATATGTCCTTGGATATTGGAGGCTTTGTTTCCATAAAGTAGATTCTCAAGGGTAGATTTACTGGGTCAAAAAGTGTATGCATTATATTAACAGAAAGATACTTTACTTAAAGGCTACAATAACTCTCCTTTCTAACAGTCATAGCTAGAAGTTCCTCTTCCTATACATATTATACCTCCCATCTCCTCCTAGTAAGAAATGTAATTGCTTTTTCCCCAATTGTTCCCAGTTTAATGAATATAAAGCGACTATGGCAGGCAGAATTCTAAAATGACCCCCAGTGAGTCACATCACTGTGTGGCAATGGAGCTTGTGACTTGTTTCTGCCTAGTAGAACATGGCAAAGGTGATAGGACAGTCACTGCCACGATCACATTCCATTATTAGCAGACTGTAGCCAGGGACTCGCCTGCTGGTTTTGAAGAAGTAAGATGCCAGGAGGTGAGGTGAGAGGGCCTGTGAGAAGGCTACGTGGCAGGGACCTGCGACATCCTCTAAGATCTGAGAGTAACCCCCAGCTGACAGCAACAAAGTGAGGGCCTCAGTTCTACAGCGGCAAGGAACGTAATTCTGCCAACACTCATGTCAGCTTGGAAGAGGACCCTGAGCTCCAGAAAGGAACACAGCCACCAACATCTATAAAAATTAATAATAATTTTAAAAAATGGACATCTTTGGCTATAGCCTTGTAAGCCCCTAGTCATTGGACTCAGCTAAACCAGGCCCAACTCCTGACTCACAGAAACTGTGAGGCCATGAACATATGTTGTGTGAAAGTCGTGCTTAATTCTTCATGCAGCAAGAAAAAACTAAAATGGTGACATATCATAGCTGCTTCACTTAGTATTTCCCTAATTGCTAAACTTTGAGCATTATTTCATAGGTTTGCAGGCAATCTGGATTTGCTCTCCTGTAAATTACGCATTTGAATGTGTTTTGCCCTATTTTTTCTATTGGATGGCTCATCTTGTCAAATTAAGAACTTCTTTGTATATCGTCTCACCAAATCTACTGTATCTCTGTTGACTTTGCTTATGGTGCCCTTTGCTACTGAAGCATTTATTTGTTATGTAGCCAAATAGGTCCATTTTTTTTCTAACAGATTCTGGATTTATAGCCTTAATTTCCTCAACCCCTGAATTGTACCTGAAGTCTCTTTAAGATTAAATTACTATTCATTAAATGGAAGTCAATCATCATAAAGGTCTTCATCCTTATCATCTTCACTGAGTAGGCTGAGGAAGAGGAGGGGTTGGGTTTGCTGTCTTAGGGCTGGCCGAGGAAGAAGAAAACCCAAGTATGTAAGGGGACCTCAGGCAGTTCAAACGTCTGTTGTTCAAGGGTCAACTGTATTTAACTAATAATTTATTTAATTTATTAATAAGACAGATAAACTGGGTATTGACTGCCCCCTTAAAGGACTCACCTGAAGATCCCTTAATTTAAATAAAAGCTCTCAGTTCACTTTAAGCAATTCAATTTAAGGAAACTGCATGAAGGAACATACTGCATGAAGAAAGTATACCTGACCAAGTATTATATTTTAAGACCTCTCGCATTTAGCAAGAAGGTTTGAGACAGTACTCCCTTAGGTATGGTTTTTGAGATGTTCATTAATTTAACTAATAGGAAAGTGCCAGGTGTTCACGATGATATCTCACTAGAGAAAAGTCTTTATGTCCTAGCTGACTAATAAAGACCTCTGCTTCCACATAATTCTGAATCACAAAGTAAGCATGCCCAGAACCATTTAACACATCAACTCTTCTACATGTTCACACCTTCATTCTTGAGTAATCATACCTATATATGTGTAACGATTTGTAAAGGTTGAACTAGGCACCGTAGGTTCTGATGTTACACTACCCATATGTAAGTGCTTCTACGTATTCTAAGTCATTTTCAATAACTGTATACATAAAAAAGCCTACTTGAATGTACTCTTGTGAATTCCTGGATGCTAGGTCCTGCTAGCCTTTCCCTAAAATGGTGCCACCTTTTTGGGGCCACTTTTAAATTCCATGTTGGCCTACTTAGTTCATTAATAATACACAAACGCATTTAAATTCTGAAATTCAAGCAAAGAAACCAGAGAAGATAAATAACAATAACAACATACCGGGAAATCACTAGAGTAACCAAAAGTCTGAGCTCCCTAAGGCCTTTTTTATTAGAGCTGTAAATCATATCACCCAAAGGGGAACTTGGGGAGGTTTGCACACAGTCAGGTCTAACCTAGCAGCAGTACTGGAAATAACGACAGATGCAGTGCCAACAATACTTGGATGATTGCCACCACGAGTAACATTTGTCAAGCATTTGTATGACTTAGCTACACTACAAAGCAGCTTTGCTGTGTAGTTCACAACATTTCAGTTAATTATACTTCTAAAAATAATCTCCAGCGAAACAAAAGCCAGCAGAAAGCGCAATACGTTTGGGGAAGAAACTGGTGCCCTAACATTGACGCAAATGGCCCAGGACAACCTCCCGACATCAAAAACCTCACCAATATGTTTGAGGACTGCAAAGGGACTCCCATCAAAATAGACAGATGTCAGTGAGGTAGTCACTTTTTCTCTGGAACATTTTTTAATTTTATTACTTTTAAATCCTCCCTTCCTCTCTGAATCCCCTTCCCAAATATCCCAGTCTTGTCTGGGTCAACAATTAAATCATCCACAATCTGGCTCCTCTCAGAGTAATGCACATCTGTCTATTACATAGTACATTTATTGGAAACAGATCAAGGGAACCGGAAGAAAACGTGCTGCATTCAAACCTTCAGCCTAAATGAGTAGCCCTGCAGAGCTACAACTTCCAAAACTGACACTGACAGTTATCTCTACAAACACTGAAGGGCTCACTGGTGCCAAACAGGATGTCCCTGCTAGGAAGTTCATTGACTATAAATGTTATGTGGTGTCATAACAAGCAATAACGTGCCAAGACTCTTGAGCTGAGATTAGCCACTGAAAGACAACATGGGAAATGCGGTGAGTCCATCCTCATGAAACCAGAGCTTGGGGGAAGCACAGCATTTAACACTTCCATTTACAAGGCTCTGGGGAGAAAAATCTGGATCATTACAAAGCTGAAGAAAAGTCTCACTGTTGTAACTCAGGACTCTGATGAAAATGACAAGAATCACAACCAAGGCAAAGACAGGGAGCAAAGTTCACCACTTAAAGTTTATCTGGAATTCAAAACAAGGCAGGTTCGTATTTTATGACGAAGGACTAATCAAACAGTGCTCACCTGCACTGTTATAACTGCCTGGCAACACCTGATGAGAGAGCATTAAAGAGACAACAGCCCACTGCTACCACATCAAGAGGAAGAAGGCCGGAGAGGCAAAGAAGAACAAAGAGGAAGAGAGCGGGAAAAGAGACAGCAGCATCGTGTACCATGGGTAAATAGAAAACTTAAAAGTTTATTGCTTTTTCCCATATTTTATCCTGGTTCAACACACTTCAATTTGTTCATCCAAATCTGGGTGTCTCAAATATATGAACCCGAAAAAAAAAAAGAGAGAAAGCCTTCTTAACAAAGAACTTTCCCTTAAAGCTTCATAAATGTACAAAAATTACCATTTCACAGAGAAGCCCTTCAATTCCTGGCACTCCTACCATTGATTTTACTCTATAATCATAATTTCTAACATTTACAATATGCTAATGATTTTAAACACATTGTCTCATTCAATCCTCACAACAACTCTGCGGGAGGTGCAGAATGTCCACAGCAACCTGAAGGTGCACGGTCACACTGCTAGCAAGTGTCACACTGCTAGCAAGTGGTGGAGCAAGGGGTCAAAAGCCCGAGCCCCACGTTTAGCTCACACCTATACTTAAGCTAATACTTGGCATATTAGAAGAGGCACTTTCTGTTCAACACAGCTCAAGTTCTTCTACCTTAGATCACATGCCCTTGCTATTTTTAAAGGTGATTTTTAGAATGAATCACCATAATGGCTTAGCAGACCGTGACTGCTCCTGACACACCAGCCTGGCTATAAGCCATGGGTCAGAGGAAGGGTCGGGAGGGGAAGTGGTTAAAAGGATGGACTGGCTTAATCTCCTGTTAAAATTACACAGAGAGAACTAACTCAAAGCATTGCTGACACAGAAAACTGGACTGAGAATAAGCTACAATTTATCAAAGTAGAGCAAGACAGAATTTAAATCAAAGGTAATGCCTTTGATTTTTAGGGCAACTAGCTCACCCTGGTGGACAGAAAACTCAACTTTGAACCACCAATTTCCTCCCACTCCACTTCATTAAAATACTATGCTAAAACTGGGGAAACTGATTCAGACCAGTTGATATCCTTGATGATTTAAGTTTGAGCAAACTTTCTGAGTAGATCTACATAGTATAAACAAAGCATATGCAGTATAAACTGTGTTAGCAACCCTATACCTGAAAATTTGTCTGTATAACGTGAGAAGTCTCTGAAAACTTCTTAAACTCAAGTCAAATATAAAACGCTGGATTTGTTGAAAACAACAATAAATGTAACAAAAGTCATTATAAGTAAGTGTCTGTTATGCAATAGAGCCAATCTATCTTCTAAAAGATTACAGTAGCAATTTTTTGATCTGGTAGAAATCACCTAAACCTAATAAAACCTAACCACAAAAATATTTATTACAATATTTATTTATTCCATCAAGTACTTTCATATAACAGACACCACACTGAACACTGAAAAAATAGCAGATAACAAGCTATTGCATTGCTAGGCAGAGAATCAAAAGACTGTGATGGAATACAGACCTTGTTGCTACTTCAGATTAAATGGTCAAAGAGGCCACTGTATTATTTGCAATAGCAGAAAACTGCAAACAACTCAAATGCCCATCAACAGTAAACAGCCCAAATGTCCATCCATCATGATAAAAATATACAACAAGACAGTAGGCAGTCAATGAAAAGCTTCAGATAGAACTGTAAGTGCTGATATGGAAGATCTGCAACGTATATTACAAGTTGAAAAAGCAAGGTAAGAACAGGATATACATGAGTCTATGCGTATAAATTTCTTAAAACAAATATTTAGATGTGGGAATATATATTTGAAAAATACCCCAAAATTGTTAACAGTGGAACTTAGGGTAGGAAGAGTCCATAATCTATTTACTTTTTTTTTTACTTAACTTACAGACCTAGAACATGACATATTCCATTTAATATTCTTCAAAATGTATGTGTGTATATATTCCTTTCATTTAAACACTGAAATTTTATTTTTAACATATAAATAAGAGCCAAATCAGTATGACAGAAAAAACTTGGGCCTTCTATTCTCAATCTATCTGAAACTGTTATAATTCTAATCTACAGACTTAATATACACCAACCTCGCACTTAGGGAAGGTGGTAATAACATGCCCATGTAAGAAAGAACTCTTTGTGGATAACATTTGGCTTAATGTTAATTACAGCACAGCCATCTCTTGTGGCTCATAAAACTCCCCAGCTCAGCTTTCACTGGAAAAAGTTGGCCCATCTGCTATCAGTAAGGTACAAATATGAGAACAACTATTCCTGCTTCTTCACAAAAACACTTGTGAAAAAATTGGGCAGGGCATATCAAATTCATTCAACAGAGAAAGGGAATGAGAATTGGGTCTTTTCCCACCATTATTAATACTCAAATGTTCCTACCACAGAGGAATGTTCATACTTCTCAAGTGGATTATTCAGAAAGTACAAATGCCCTGTGTGTTACCATCCCTAAATTTATATACATACATTCATTAATTAATTTAATAAATTTAAAAGAACTCCAATGATCCTAAAGGAAAATATACTTCAAAAGAATTTTCCAATACAAGTAAGTCTAATTATTTAGAGGTATTTTCCAGTCAGGGGTGAAGACCTCATTTCTAAAACTGGCAATCCAAAATCATATTTTCATATTATGAGGCAATTACAATTACAAGCTTAAGAAAAGGGAAGGCAGGCCGGGCGCGGTGGCTAACGCCTGTAATCCTAGCTCTCTGGGAGGCCGAGGCAGGCGGATTGTTTGAGCTCAGGAGTTCGAAACCAGCCTGAGCAAGAGCGAGACCCCGTCTCTACTAAAAATACAAAGAAATTAATTGGACAACTAAAAATACATAGAAAAAATTAGCCGGGCATGGCGGCGCATGTCTGTAGTCCCAGCTACTCAGGAGGCTGAGGCAGAAGGATCGCTTGAGCCCAGGAGTCTGAGGTTGCTGTGAGCTAGGATGACGCCACGGCACTCTAGCCCGGGCAACACAGTGAGACTCTGTCTCAAAAAAAAAAAAAAAAAAGAAGAAAAGGGAAGGCAGTAAACTTGGCGTACCGTGAGACTTTAAAATAAAACAAATGAGCCTACTTTTAAGTTTCTTACCTAACACAGCATGATCTTCTTGATCTTGACTCTTTTCCAAAAGGGCCATCATTTTTGAATATGGGTCAGTCCACCAAGGATTATACTTCAAAATCTGTTCAACTGCCTCATCTTCAAAAAAATCAGCTCTGGGAAAAAAAAAACCATTGAATGGGCTTGTTACATAGGATTAGGCTGGTTTTCATTTTTTAAAATTGTTTCTTAACTCATCATGTTTGCACTAGAAATACAGATTGTTAATTCATAGTGCATTTCGAGGAAAGACTAAGCACTATATTTACTTTCTTTGCGGTTACCAATCACCACAAAACAAAAGTAAGCATCTGATTAAAGGGATATTTGACATTTCTGATCTCTATAAGTAGAAGGTACACAGAAGACTAGTACTTCCCTGAAGTCCCATCTCATATTCAGTGGTGTGGGAAGAAGCAAATCTGAACACATATTGGACTGAAACCCAGCACTTGTGCTAGTTTGCAAGGACCACAGATTTTGTAAGATCACAACAAAGGAAAGAATTTTCAACTTCACAAGCAAAGAAAAACAAACAGATGAGTAGGAAATTCAGGATACTATACCTCCACAAAGAGGCTACACACATACGTACACACACACACATACACATCATTTTTTACATGTGCAAGCATATTTTCTACTAAGATGTAATCTATTTTACTCAGCTATTCTAATCTTAACAGTTCTTTGATTTTAAACTATTGAAAGAGATAAAAGCAGCCACTGTAGAGAACAGAGAAGTACTTTTCCCATACTTACTTTCTCCATTTTAACTAGAAAAATAACAGCTACATTCAAAACACATCTTTCACTTTTGGAGGACACTTACTCAGAAATGATACTATCTTGCATTCAAAGTTGTGAATTGATATTCTTGAGAAAAGCATGACAAAGTATAACTCACGGTGAAAATTTCATTTATACTTCAGTTAACTAGAAACTCAAAGAATTGGCTGCTTTGATAAATTGAATTTTCTAGCTGACAGTTTTATGACCTCAGACACTTTTTTTCCTTTCAACTGAGATACTGAAATCTTTTAAAATTAGAAAGATCACAGATAACTCACTGAGTTCTTTGCATGTTCCAGGTACTGCACTAAGAGCTGTGCATCTATGATTTCCTTGAATCCTCATATCACCACTATGGGCAGGAAGTACCAGTAATACCCTCATTTTACTTGGGTGGAAACTGAGGCTCAGAAAACTTGTGTATTTGGGCCAAGCTCAGAGTACCAGTAAGAAGTGTGGCCAGGATGTAGACCCACTCAAGTCTTACTCCAGAATCCAAACTCTTAACCAACATAAATTATTTCTTTTTTATGCATGAGGAAGTAAGTACATATTGGACAAAACTGTATAGCTAGTTGAAATGGGAATTCTCAGTAACGATTTTTGTCAGGTGCACAAGGTATACAAGACTAGGACGAAGTATGTGCTTTATAAACTAATCCTGCTAAGTCTATTTTCTTACTAGCTGTTTCTTTCTCCTTAAAGTGATAGAAAATTCTTTTGAATCAAGGTTCTACTACAGACTCATCCACAAATCAGAATATGAGCTTTTTCCTAGGAAATGAATTTCAAAAAGGATAAGCAACAGGAGTAAATGGCTAAAATGGTAAATAAATCATTCATTCAACAAAAAGTATTGACTTTGTGCCATGTTGCAAGCTCCATGTCAGACACTGGGGTTCTAATGCTGACAACACACAGACAGTCCTTCCTGGTCCTCACGCAACTTACAGTCCCATGGGACAGTCAGGCAATTGTTAATACAATACGGCATAATGCTATGACATGGCAGAACAAGATTCTAGCGCAAAATAAAATTACGATGACAGGCAAGGACTCTGGAGGAAATAATATCTAAATGAACAACTGAATGATAATTAACAGTTAACCAGATTAAGAGGGGTGAGAGAAGGTAGTCTGGGTTGAAATGATAGTTGGCAAAGGCTAGGAAACAAGAAGGCACATTAAAGGAGGGGGAAAAAAAGTTGAGAGAATCTAAAAAGAATATGTTGTAGTGACAATAATCTCATAAGCTATGTTAAAAAATCTGGAAGATTTTTATCCCTAAGAACAATGAAACACTTAAAAGATTTTACATAGGGGAATGACATCAGTGTGTTTTAGAAGTATCACTCTTACTGCAGTCTGGAAAATGATTTCAAGGGGCAAACCTGAAGGAGCAGAAATAACAGTGGCCTAGAATAGGATAGCAGCAGACATGGAGCAAAGTGGATGGATCCGGCCTGCAGATAGAAGACAGAACCTGCAGGCTGCGGGGGTTGAGGAGCTAGAGGAATCAAGAGTGATGCCCAGGATCCTGGCCTGGACAACTCTGTGGACAACAGTGCCCTTCGTTGACACAGGGGCATGGGAAGCTAGCAGACATGAGTGAGAGACGATGACTTCTGTTTGGAACAGGTTGAGTTTGAGGTGCCCTTTTAGGACATGGAAACAAAGAACTGTCCAATAGTTAGGTGGACATACAAGTCTGATGCTCAAGAGAAAGCCACGGGAGTCGTGAGCATTTAGACAAAGAAAGAGGACGGAACTGCCCAGGAAGAACTAGCACAGTGAGGGGAAAGGGTCTTGGACACTGGAGCATTGAGGACACTTAAGGCAAAGGAAGAAGAAGAGCCCATCTGAAAAGATGCTGGTTTTTCCCCAGGGAAACCATAATGAAGGGGAGGACTGGCATGATAAAATGGCATTTCTACCTCCTCCATCCCCCTCCCCACCGAAAACACTCCAAAATGTTTGTGTGATTATTTTGAGTAAAATGTCACTAATACAGTCCCAGGAACCTAAACTGTGTAGGTTTATTCTATACATTGTCCATGAATTAAGAGTTTCAGGAACTGAGGTTGACTAATGTTCTACTTTTTAGAATAAATTATTTTTAAGTTTTTAAATGCCATTAATGCAACAAGCATTCACTGAATGCCTTCTGCGTGCAGAATCAGTAAGACTCGCTACCTGCCCTTAAGGATGGGAACCAACTGATGGTAACCATGCACACAAATACAGAACATTATAAAACAATGTGGCAAGAGCAAGATGAGCTATAATAGGGGGCACCAAGGAAAGCGTATGGGGGTGACAGCTGAGCCCAGTCTAAAAGTAGAAGTACAAATTATTCAGTCAAAGTGGGGCAGAGGGGAAACAGCTGGCAAACGGATATCATGAGTAAAAGGGAATATATGGGAAGTGGTGTGGTACAGGTGGACAAAGGCAAACATTCGTTATTGCTGCAGTGTAAAACATGGGCAGGGAGCAGCAAAAGAGAAGCTGCAGGGGTAGGCAGGGTCAAGATCACAGAGAACTTTCAGTGGCATGCTAAGGAGGTAGGAGCATATGCTTTAAGCAAAAGAGCGCCAAGTACGGGGATAAGCAGACTTCCACTTTCAGTAGTACATAAGACATCATACTGGTGGTTTTACGGCTGATGGATTTGAAGAAGCACAGACTGGAGGTAGTGATGCCAGTTAGGCAGTTAGGTGAGGGCTGCACTAAGCCTGACACAGATGAGGGCCAGAGATAGATGGAGTGAAGGAAATACTACGAAGATAAATGGTACAACTTCAGGATTGATTGAATGTGTGGGATAAGAAAGAAGTGGAAGATGAATCCCAGGTTTCTAACTGGGTGACTGGAGTGAAAAATGGGGCACTTAAGCAAGTTAGAAAATTCAGGAAGACTTTACAGGTAAAATGATGAGTTCAATTTTGGACACATTCAGTCAGTGGGATGCCCAGTCACTCTCTAAACCTTTAATCTGCTTTTTCTTCATAGCATTTATCAAAATAGTGTCTACTTCCTCACTAGAATGTAAGCCCCATGAGTACAGAGACCCTGTCGTATTCGCTACACAATTTTTGGTGTCTGCAACACTGCCTGGCATGCGCTTCATTCAAATATTTGTTGAACAAATAAATGTATAAATAAAAGAATGAATACATACAATTTTATTCTAATGTCTTCTCCTAAGCTTGGTGTTTTGAGAAGTGAGCTATATCAGAAGCATGAAATCCTGCTCCCAGCCTCCTAATTACTATCTGTTGTATTAAGATGTACTTCATAAATCCAAAAGCCTGATCAGTGTACCATCTTCTTTAACAAATTTAGAGCAATGAAAAGTTATCGCAATTTAAAATCGTACCCCAAATGGTATATGACATTTTTGTCCCTTATCTCACAGATGTTTAGAATGCTGACTAAATTCTTCTGTTTTCTCCCAAATAAAGAAACAGGCAAGACTTTACAAAATGATTAAGGTAAAAAATATGCCAACAGTTAAAAAATAATTTTGGAAGAAAAAAACCCCCACACTCTCAACAAGAGAAATATGAAAACTTAACTACAACAAGCAAAAGAGAAAGGACTGTTAAAGAATGCTTCAAGATGTCATCAACATATTTTAGTGTAAAAATATATCCAAAAGGAATTACAAGTGACAAGAAATGGATAATCAAAAACGATATGTTTATCTATCATCTATTATATGCCCAGCCTGTGATGTGCTGCAAAACATACAATAACGTCCAGATTTTATAACAACAAAGGACTTTTTAAACAGTAATAATCCAGAGTCATTTATATATATCTTTGAAATGTATTAATTTTTCTTTACAATCAACTGACTTCCCTGTGTTCTGCTTAGGCTGAAGTTAAAATTAGTTTTCCTCAAGCTCCCCAAAATCCTGATAGCATGAGGCAACACCATGACTTGTAAGCATAAGTCAACAACTTAAAAATAGGTAATATTACACTAATGCAAAATATATTATGTATTACATGTGTATATTGCATTTATGTAAATGTAATATAATATGTACAATGTATTATATGCATGGTAGATAGTAATTTAAAGTGAGCCTATTTCTTCTCTGTTTTAACTACTAACAACAAAAAAAGCACTGAGCTAAAAAAATTTTAATTAAAAATTCAAAAGAACTTTACTTGTACTTCATTTAATAGTAATACATTTGGGTGACTCGGTCAGCTGCTATAAATAAGGAGTAATGAATAACACAAAAACTACACTTAGTTAAAGTCTTATTGCTATCAGAAAGTCACAAAAAACCCTCACCTCAGGACTCTCACTCTCCTCACTTAGCCCATGACTAAATTCAAACCACTCCTATACCAAGAACTACTCCTGGAGAAATGGAAAGAACATTTCACGCATACAATTAAAGAAAATGAGCTTCCGGATAAAGAAACACAAAAGATGAAGAAGAATAAGGGCTGCTTATAATATCACACTTATAACTATAAATTCCAATTTCCTAATTCTCTCAGGCCATAGTTATTCTTCTAGTTTTAGAAGAGAGAAGATAGGTAGTTCTTCTAATTAAGCTCCCTCCCACTTGAAATTTCAGTCTTGTAAAGCTCATTCTGTTTTCATGCTAGCCCGAGAAATCTGCTGACAATGAAATTTCCACTTTAAATATTCAGCATGATTTTAAATGGGTTTCTTCAAATTACTCTTCAGTGGACCTTTAAAACCACAATTGGAGAGATAAAGGTAATTAGAAATGGCAATATAAATGGAGTTGAATCTCTCAGATGTCCTCCAAAATACAACATACCCTGCTCTTACCCAGTTTCCCTTAGGATGTTGAATAGTTCAACCATTTATCATTACACATCACTCATTCCATTTGCACATCACGAGATATATTTCTGTCATTCCAATTAGTATCCTACTGTGTCACAGGAGATTGAATGTTAATCACAAGAGCAACAGCAGTTAAACTGAAATAGTGTACATGAGAAGGAAATATAAAATGACAAATGGAGAGCCTCTTTTGAAGTCCTGGCCAAGCTACTCGGTAGTCGTGTGACCTTGGTTGGGCAAGTCCCTTAAACTCCTTTCCTCATCTGTTGTGAAAACTGGATTAAATAATCTCATGAGAGCACTTAATAAGCTGCAAGCATTCTACAAATAAAAGGGGATATGATGATTATAGTTGTATATATAACAGTATAGAAAATGTTGGTCCAGAGCTAAGGAAGAACAATAATTGAGGGCTACATCAACATGAGACACCTATTCTCCACCCATCCTAGGCAAGCCAAGTAGCCACAGAGGCCAGGTGACAATCCTTGGAAGAAGTGCAGCTATCCTGGCCAATGGGAGACACCACAATCTCTCCCCAGGTGATCATTTACCTATCCATCAGTTAGATAAGTTCCTTATGCAAATATAAGCCTGACTGAGACACATTATGACTAAAAACACAATTAATGCAGGAGGGAAATACAGCAAAATTTAAAATTAGATTATATTTATGCTCTACCACAAACAACAATTATTTGCTCATTTGAAACATATCACTGATTACAGGTGTAGTGGATGAAAGTATTAACAAGACCCCATCAGCCAAGAAATGCAATACGAGTAGATTCAAATTATTAAAGAAACTGATACATATTTTCATTCATGTATACCATTAATTACAACAAAAAGCCTACTTAAAAAAAGTATAAATATTTTCATGAATTCAGTGTTCTATTTTTAAGCCTGGCAAGAAAAAAACTACAAAAAGTATGTTGGTAGAGTTCTCTGTTACTAAGGTGAACAACTAAGAAGCAGTATCTTAGAAAGATCACAGTGGTGTAACAGTTATAGGTTAAGTCAAATGTCAGTTAACGTTTTGAGCCATCAGTAACTTCTAGAATCCAAAAGTACATGTCTAGCATAGTTAAAAAGACACTCAAACATTTTTAAAATAAAAGTCAAGTAAATTCTTTAATCCTCGAAACACTCCATACTTACAGATAATGATCAGGATCAAATTTGGCCAGCTCAGCAGCCAGGCGTTTCTGCCTTCGTTCAGCTGCAGGAGTGAAATCTGGATCCTTAATATCAATAACATCACTCAATTCATCCTAAGAACACCCAGAAAAGAAAGAATTGCTCTTATTTTTAGCATTTAAAAACCAAATTGTGCACAAACTGTCAAAACACAGGAAGAATCTAACTGATCAGTAAACCGTGATAGCACTTAAGACATTTAGATTCCGACCCAACAAATGTTTGTTAAAGCACCTACTACTTGCTAGGCCCTACTGGACTCTTTCACATAAATTATCTCATTTAATCACACAATGAACTGATTAACATATATTAAGGCTATAAGAGTTCAACATAAAAAACGGAATGGAATAAACCCCTGCAAGCAAGCAGAAACATTTAAGTCAACATTCATTTCCCAATTTATCCCTAGAGATTTGAAAGTTATTAAAGGTAGAAATGGCTTGAATATCAGACATCTACATATAGACTTTTCTCTCTTCCTACAGTCTAGGTAAGCTGGTCTGAAGAATTACCACACAGGTTGAGTAGCGTTTATCCAAAAGCTTGGGACCGGAAATGTTTCAGATTTCAGATTTCTTCAAATTTTAGAATATCTGCATTATACCAGTTCAGCAGCCCTAATCCAAAAATCCAAAATCCTGAACACCCCAAATGATTATTTCCTTTGAGCATTATGCCAGCACTTAAAAAGTTTTGGGAGCAGATTTTGGGGCATTTTGGATTTAAGATTTTTGGATTAGGGATATTCATCCTGTGTAAAACTATATACACAAAACTATATACATTCTACTTTGTGAGCAAATTTAAGAATTTTTATGGGCAATTTTGATGTACAGTAATGACTTTCCATTTGAAAATGTAAAAATCCAATTCTAAGTAAGAATCAACTTTGCTATAATTGTCTTTATCTAGATGTAACATATTGACATGCAGTCTGTTTCCCAAGCCAAATCCTACAGAATAGATGTATATTAGGAAAACTGCCTAGGATACCATAACGTTTTTATTCTTTTGATCAGAATTGTGAAGCAAAGAAACTTTATACAATACAAAATATTCCTAAACTGTGCCTTGTTTTCTTTCTTCCAGCTCCCCACTCCTACTACCAACCCCAAATGAGAAGTACAGAAACGGGAAAAAGCTTAAAGAATATTAGCTGCAAAGAAATCAAAAGAAATAACTTGGTAGAGAGTTGTGGAGGCAAACTGTTAAGACAGGTTTCTAAATGGAATTAGAGGTTAGTGCCTAATAAGCAGGCAGAAAAGTTGATGGCTGTAATGCAAAATCACAGTAATAAATGTGAGTGATGATAAATCAGTAAGGAAGAGACTAGGATAGAGCCTCCCTACACAATCAAAATTTCTGTATAATAATAAAAATTACTATTATTAAAGTTATCCCCACCATAATCCATTTAGCTCAGTAATAGCCACGATATTTAATCTAAGCACATTCTCATATAATGAAAGGGTCCAGAGACCTTTTTGGAAGTCACTGGAACATCTGGAACATCTTAATGGTTCCAAGTACAAACATTCTGGGCAAAAAAACAGATTATTTGATATCCCCAAACTTATAAAAATTTTCATTCCAAGAGTATCTTTTCAGTTTACTTTTCAGAGACTTAGAATGTTCTTCCCTATAGAAATACTATTATAAATAGCAGTTAGATTCTCGGAGCAGCCCACAAGTTTATGCAATTCATAATAAACTTGAAATAGAGTACACAAGATACAAAGAGCTTAACAAGCGAGCAGCGGTGTTTCCATGGGAAAACACTTTCAGAATTCCATTGACTCAACCAGAAACACCTCTTCTCCAAGCAGTGCAACCTGGATTCTTTCTCTCTTCCTCTACTTCCTCACCTGCCTAAAATTAGCTCCTCCAGCTGGGAGGGCTGGGAAAGGACACCGATGAAGTCCTTGGGGGAGAGGAGTTAATGTCATGTATTCACAGGACTTGCCTCAGCCAGGTGAATACTATGAGAGCCATTTCCTGCCCGTGGACTCCAAGTCCTCTCACCAGCGACCTAGAGTTACCCCCTTTCTTTCCTCCTTCTAGCCCCAAAGATTTCCCTAGCCTGCAGACTCCCTTTTCCCACTCACACACTTCTGAAATCAGCTTGACAAAGTACAAAGAGTGACTTTGGAATTAGACAAACTTGGATCTAAACCCCAGCTCCAGACAATCGTGCGGCCCCTCCGAACCTCAGCTTCCTTATTGTAAAATGAGTCTAGTGACACCTCTATCACAGCCCTATTAGTTTCCCCTTGTTTCCTTTGCTGTAACAAACTACCCCAAACTTGGTGGCTTAACACAACATGAACTTACTATCTTACAGTTCTGGAGGTCAGAAGCCCAAAATCAGCCTCGCTGGGCTAAAATCAAGGGTTACATTCTTTTCCAGAGGTTCTAGGACAGAATCTGTTTCTTTGCACTTTCCACCTTAGAGGTTGTCCTCATTCCTTGGCTTGTAGCCCCACATCACAACGCCTTTCCTCCCTGGACTTCTATCATCACGTGGCCTTCTTTCTTTTTCACTTTTACCCATTCACCTTCCTCTTATAAGGGCACTGTGATTAGGCTGGACCCACATAAATAATATAGGATACTGTCCCCATCTCAAGATGCTTAATTTAATCACATCTGCAAAGTGGCTTCTGCCATGTAAGGTTACATATTTATGGGCTCTGATAAGCATGAGGACATCTTTTAGGGGGAGGGGACATCACTCTGTACCACAGGCTGTTGTGAGGATTAAATGACATAATACAAGTAAGGCACAAGCACATGGCTTAACACATTCAATAATGTCAGTTTCCTTTCTCTATGGCTCCCTCTTCCACTGCTGTTCCCTGTTACTCACTGGCTAACTTCCTACTGAGAGTACATATACTCCCTCCACTTCAGTTTGCTCACTTACTAGTAACAACTTAAACAAAAGGATTAAAATGTTCCACTTCATTATTTCACCTGGACCAGATATAAAGTCATAAATGGGGTATAATCTGTAAATCCTCGTAGATAACTCCGTATTTCAGAGGATGAATGGACTGACATGACCCCAGGGATTTCAAAACACTAACTGCACTTAGAATAGACCCAGACTCTTACCATAGCTCTGCACAATCCAGCCCATCTTGCTCTTCGACTGCATGTCTACCTTCCCCTTCTGGCTCAAACATGCTCAAGCCACACAGTAGACTTCTTTCCATTTCTGAAACACGTCAATTCAGGCCCAGCTCTGAGCCTTTGCATTTATAATGCCCTTCTCATCATTTAGAACTCAGTGCAAATGTCACCTTCTCAAAGGGGCCGTCTCTGGACATCCTAACCAAAGTTGTCCCCCTACTGTCTCATGTTATCCTCTCCTTTTCCTTCACCTGTAACTATCTGTCATTACTCTATTTGTCATTTATCTGATTACTATCTGTCTCCCCACTAGAATGTTCCATGACAGCAGGGGTCTCATCTAGCTTCTTTTTCACTTTATCCCCAGAACTATGCCAGAAGTCCAGTATTAAATCATTCATTCAGCAAATAGTGCTTGAGGGCCTGTTTATGGGCCAGGAACTGTTCTAGGTGCTGGAGTGGAGATCTAGTAATTAACAAGTAGCCAAGGTCCCCGCTCTCACAGGAATGAGAACTGGCCAACAAGAAAGCAGCTTTCTTTCCTCTCTCCCTCCTCTTCCCCCAGCCTCCAGACTCAAGGCCTCTACATATTCATACAACATGTACACAGTAGAACACGAATGTTCACAGCGGTGCAAGCCCCACTCAGGCTTGTTCTATGCACAATCATATGCAGGAAGAAAAGAGGATGAAAAATGTTAAACTACAGAAGGAAGAAAAGGATCCTTTTTTATTTTTAAAGAATTGCTACACCACTTGTTATTAGAGCTATTTAAGATGGAGATTGCCAAGAAAAGGTCATGTAGGATTTAAATCAGGCTTATATAAGCTTAGGCATAGATGAGACAGAGACGATTCAGACAGAAAATGAAGAACTATATGCGCATCTGACCTGTGGGTCTCCTGGAAACAATGGCCTCACGTGCCCCAGTGTAGCCAAGGGAAGGAGAGGGCCAGCAAGCCTGGCATCCTGTGGTTGCTGGCAGCAGTGGTCCCAGGAGCTTGCTGGGTTGGCGCCCAGAGACTCTAGGATTGCTGCTGCTGGCAGCCACCACCGCCAGAAGCTTGTTGTGAAGCCCTGACTCTGAGCAGCCAGGAGCTTGTTGTGAAGCCCTCACTTTGAGCAGCCAGGGCAGTTTTCCAAAGGCGCCCTGGTGGCTGGCAGCAATTTCAGAAAGGAAAAAAAGAAGGGAGGTGG